AGGGATTCCTCCCGCACTACCGTCATTGATGTTCAGCTGCCCACTGCCGTCACTGTCAGAGTCCCAGCTCTGGCACCCCTCTTCTAGTAACAGAATTTTTAAGAGGGAAAAGCTGACACTACACCTGGATCCTGCTCACTAAGTTTGGCTTTACACCTCTCCCAAAATAAGACACTGCTACAAAGATTAAGACCAGTGAGTCTACTTGGAATTTCTTTTATATCTTGTATGTAAGAACACTCTCATTTCTATCTACCAATTCACAACCCAGCTAAAGCTATGCACCCCATTAACAGTGTTCAACTTAGGTAAAGGAAAAATCTACCTCTTAGGACACTCTTCCAAGTAATATGCAGACAAAAATTTGGTTTAGACTTATTCAGTTCTTTCAAAAGAGAGAGAGAGAAAAAAAGACTAGTCTTAAAAGATTTACAGATTTTTATTGTTTCTGCAAAATCATGGAACCAATCCAATGTAACCACTTATTTAAAATTAAAGCTCTCCTTTGGGAATTTTTGTTGATTGCTCTTCCTGTAATTATTTTTCCCCCTAAATTAGTAAGATCAAAATTTCAAGGATCTCTGCAAGTGCCAATCTAAAGAAAAATAACAGGGTTTGGTACTAAACCAAAACTAATACCTAAAAGGGAATTTGGGGAAGAAAAATGGTTATAAGCAGAAAGACCATAAGGCAGCTTGTGTTAGTAGATTTTATAACCCAGAAAGACAATATGGGTGCCCCATAATCACCGTTGTTGAGTCTAACAAAAAGAGCTTAGAAAATAAGACAAAAGAGAAGACAATGGCTTATATATGACTTTTTTCTCTATTAAACGTATATAGGGCCTTTGCCTACTTTTCTTCCTCATCTCATGGAATCTGGGAGGAACACAGAAATAATCAGGTGTCCTGCCAGATAAAAGGTTAGGGCTGATCATATCAGAGGCAAAAACATTGTTTCTGGCTGCCTCAGAAGCACCAAAACAGTGTATTCATGGGAAGCCCATGCGTGAACAGCTCCTGACTCTCAGCACTGCAGGAACCGCCACCACACAGCAGGGCAAGCGTGTCTAACACAGTCAGTCAGTCTTGGGGTGGAAAATGAGTGATCATAAGAACACCAGCAAAACCCCATCATCTCCAAAGAGTTAATAGTCTGCTCCAATTTCAGGTAAACTATTCTTATTTGGGTGAGCATCACACAGTTTTTAAGCCCTGGAACTTTTAAAAAGGGAATACAAACCAAGCCAAAAGAAGTCCCCCCTTCTTTTTTTTCTTCAATTTATGCTGAAAAGGTTCAGATGTTAGAAAACAAAGACAAAGGAATACTGATTACCACTGGCTGTGAGCACTTCATTACTGACACATTCCTGAATCAGTAATCATGTGCTGAAATCCAGCCAGCTATAGCCAACCATGGTCACTTCTTAAAAATATCATTTTTCTCTTTTCTAGAGTGCTACTGAATAGTACACTTGAAAATGGTTAGTTTATGCTCTGTGACTGTTACCTCAACAAAAAAGACTCAAATCATTTCCTCCACTCTTTTTAATAATTTAATCAGAGTTTGGTTTAATAAATAAATAAGGCTTCCTCCCAGTACCAGAGGATGAAATCCTCCCAGGGTCTGTAGTTAATCTAATGAACTGGAATGAAGATGCATATTCAACAACATCTTTCATCTCGACAAAAAATTAAAAAAAAAAAAAAAGCCCATATGAAATTGTTTAAATAATTAGAAAAGGCACTTAGTAGTCATTTCAGTTATTGGGAAGGTGAACATAAAAAGCCAACTGTTATCTGTATTCTTCCACTCCAAAGAGAACAATTGAAGCCACATGACTTCGATTATAATAATGGCTGGCAGAACTCCACAAAGAGTCTACAGAGGTGTCATTACTCCATTAGTGATAATGGCTATTGATCTAGCCTCCTGGAAGAGCTAGCAGAAAAAACAGAATATTTAACATAGTTTTTAAAAAAAAAGGGTTTTTTTTAAGTATATTAAAAATATATATATATAGATTCTGCTAGAAGTCATTTTTACAATTAGGATAGACTTTTGCCTCTAATGCCCCCCTGCCGCCAACACACCCAAGTAAGAATGTTTATCCCAGTTACTTCAACATTAGTTGCCTAGAACCTCTTCTCCCCACCCCCTCCAAAGGCCAATACCAGTAGCCTACTTAGAATATTAACTTCTCAAGAGGCTGTTAAAATCCAAAGGAGTCAGTATTGTCTAACAAGTAGGAAATATCTAGGTGTTCACTTCTTTTTACATACAAATCTACACATTTGTCTTAAAAGACTAAACTTCCTTCTTTCCTCTTTTTCTAGATACTCACGTATTATTTCTATCTTGGTCGCACACCTATAACTATCACAGGTCCTGTTAATTACTAAGGTACCTTCACTAGATAGGAATAAATTTCACCACACCAGCATCTGGATGAGTTCAACCTCAGAAAAGAACTCACTTAAGTGGCATGACTGAGTATTTTCTTTGTATCTTCCTGTATTTTCCAAATTCTGTGGTGACTTAAATAAACAAAGAAACAAGTCTTATAGTTACCTTTTTAAAGCATCTACATTTTTTATTTAATCCTCCAACTTTTTCAAGGTGTTGACCCATTTTACAGATGAGAAAAGGAAGGTCAGACGTAAAACCAATTTCTCAAAATCACTAGTGAACAGATTTGTTTTGAAAAATGTCTGCTTTATTTTATAAAACTGTTTTCTTTCCTCCATATTCCATTAAGGAGCATAAGCACAGAGAGTTATCCAGATCTCAAGCTGAAGTGTTCTGTAGCAGATTCTCATTCCCTAACGTTCACTGAAAATGCCCCAGTAGAAGTCAATCTTTTTTAAGGTTTCTATTAAAACCTGCCAAGTTAATAATTTGCAATAAACCCACATATACCCCTACACTATGAGCATAAAACATATTCTTGTTTTTAAAATTTCCATCTCTAGTCCTTCAATGCCCAAGGTTATTACTGAGATGAATGTTTAAAAACATGACTGTATCTTAAAACTTTCAAGAAAACTGGGAATAGAAAAGGTGAACGGGCATATCCAGAGATCCTTGGTGTGCCTGTGTCAGGATAAAGGACATTTTTCTTTGGGGGACCAATTCTCATCTGGCGGAAGAGGAAGTGCTCAATTCCACCTGGCTTATCTGCTAATTTCTGCATTACCCTGGACAAATGCCATTTGCATACTCCCTACCAACCCTGAGGTGCATTGCAGCCTCTGTGTCATTGTCTGTGACATCACTGGGTTGCTATGGATATAGGTGCGAGGTCACTTGCTTTCCTGTGAAACTAGAAATATGGAAAAATTAGAAGAGTCTAAATAACGTGAACTAAAGATATTGATATCCAATGAAGTGCAACTTGTCATTTGCGCCTTATAAAAACAGCGAGTGTGACAATATATTAATACAGCAGTACTCCCAATTTCAGAACCAATCCTCTTTCTTAATGAGACAAAAATCTTCTTAGCTAATGTAGCCAGTTTAAATGTAAAGGCATCAGCCTTGTCATCTCCTGTGAACCAGTAAAGTTATTCGAGAATTAATTGATGTGTAATGCCTGTACCGCTTCATTAAAGAGGTTTCATGTGCAAGGTACACTCCTGTATCCACTGCACACTGGAGATGCATTTTAAAACCTTTGTTACATAAGGCAGGAAGTTAGATATTAAAATAGTGAGAGACTGAAATCATTAGTTTCTGTGTTTCATTTACTAATGCTCAATACGTCCCCCTCCTCTAATATCAAACTGGTTGACCGCCCATTAGATAAATGTAGCATTACTGACAAAATGGTGCAATACAGGCAGGAATCTGCAAAATGCGACAACTGGAGATCAGTATTCTCTTTTCATCAGCATTGAGGATGCACTAGCTTTTTTTTCTTTTTAAGCTTCAGATGTGTCTAACAAAACAAATTAATAAAAAAAAAGACTTTTTCCCCTTTAAAATAACTCCTCCCCAGCCTCCACCCAGTCTAGGCTCTCTGCAATATGACAAATGCAGAATCTTCTGGAATGACTTGATACTGCCTCCCACCACCGCTTTGTTTGCAATATCAGATTAGAGAATATTTTTTTCAACTTAAAGGAATTTCAACAGATGTGTGCCTGTATTTAAAAAAGAAACAGCATATGTCACAAATTGAACCAGACGGCTAAATTCACAACCTTTATTTTAGAGACAATACCTACCCTTTCAATACGAGCACAGTAAGAAAAAAATGGAGATGACATATTGAGAACAATCAATGAAAACGCTACCTAGACAAACGTGCCCCCCTTCCTAAAGGCAAGAAGAGGATTTGCTTTGGGGAATGGTGAGAGGGGAGCCTTTTGTTAAGAAAAACGTGAGCAAGGTTTCGATTTTGCACCATTGATCCCAGGTTTTTAGGAGAACTAACATTTTTTCTCGAGGAGGCTCTAAAGGATCTGTCTGCAGAAGGTAGTGGGAACATTTGGGGAGTGGGGTGGGGGGAGGCGGGGGGAATATTAGAAAGCCCGGAGACCTGCTGAGTGAATGGGAAAGGCGCCGCCCAGACACCAGGGAGAAAAGAGGAACCGCATCCATGCGGTCCCCCGCCCCCACACGCCCAGGCTGTGGGAGGAGGGGGAAGCGGGGCACAAAGGATGCGCACGGCCCCCCGCTCAGGTCCCCCAGCCGACCCGGAGGCGCGGCGGCCGGAGACCCCGCTCCCGAGATCAGCCCCGAAAAGACCCCGCCCCAACCCGGGCGCGCGGGGAGGGCCGAGGCGACCGTACCGCCGGCCCTAGGGAACGCTCGGGGAGAGGCCGCGTCACACACCTGGTCCTCAGCGCTCTCGGGACCCTCCCCAGCCCCCTCAGGGGCATCCAGACCTGCAGTTGCCGACGGGAGACTAGTCCCCGGGCCGCGCCCGCGAAGGCCCGCGTCCGCGAAGGGGCTGGGGCGAGGCGGGGGAGGGGGAGGGGAGGGGAGGGAAAACTCACGTTCTTCATGGCCGCGGCCATGTCGTCGTAGCGCTCCGCCTGCTCCGCCAGCCGGGCTTTCTGCACCAGTTGCTCGCGGTCCACCATCTTCACGGGCTGGGTCTGGCCGGACGAGGATGATCCGGGGCGGCCTAGAGGGCTCGGAGGGCGGCTGCGGCGCGGCTGGAGCCCGTGTGCCGGAGGGACCGACCCACACGAGACGCGAGCGGCTAGAGGCGACAGGCGCGGAGGCTGCGACTCGAGCTGCGACCGCGGGACCGGGCGCGAGGCGGCTGCGGCGGCTGTGCGTGCCGCGGGCGGACAACCCCCTGCGGCCCCGCCCACGCCGCGTGACGCAGACGGCCCCGCCCACCAGCCCGCGCGCGGCCCCCACCCCGGCCCCGCCCCGGCCCCTTCCGCTTCTCGGGTTTCCACTCCCAGCCTCAGCTCGCGACCGCCTCCCGGGTATCCCCTTCTTCCCCGGTGCCCCTCGACAAGCCCCGTGCTTCACTTCACCCGGCTCACTGCGCCCTAGCTTCTCTAGACGACCCCCAACGCCCCCCCGACCTGCAGATCCCAGCCCTGCCAGGCCCCCCGACGCGTGGGCCCCTGGGAGTTGTAGTTCACCCTGGGATGGGGGTGATATGTTGAGGAGATCAAGGACAAAGGGGCGGTCAAGACTACATCTCCCAGTGGTCATAGCGGGCAGATGAAGGAGGATTGAGGAGGTGGTGTGGGGCGGGGTGGGGGAGGGGGAGGTCTAATTCCGCGGCTACTGGGGACCCCTGGCGGGGACTAAGGCTGCCCGAGTCCGAGCGAGTGCTGATTCACGGCCCCGCCCCATATTCTCCGGAAAATTACTGGGGGAGGGGGCCAGGGCCTTAGCCCTGGACCTTGTTTCCGAGATAAAACATCAGGCCCCCGGGAGACTGGGAAGATGGGACGCATTCACTATTGATCCAAACTGTCTGGGTGGTACCCCTCAGAGATGGTTGAATTAAAAGAGCCAAACCTTGGGGGGACTGCCACCCTCCCCCACAAGGTTCCATGTCTCCTTCCCCGCCTGAGGTTCTTGGACCTGACAGGTGGAAATGTGGAAAGACAGATACTGGCCAGGCACTCTGGTTAATATACGGAAAGAATGCAGCTGTTTGCAGCCTGACCCCTGGGGAGCCCTTTCTTCCTCTCCAGGGTGGAGTGTTAAAGATTCAATTCAGTTATCAGAGCCAATGGATGCTTACCACTGGGTTGTGTCTGGGGGTTGACCAACACTTCTCTCCCGCGTAGGATATACACGCTGGGGTCAGGCTGACTAATTCTTGCTTACATGCTTCCGTTTTTTGACATTCCATGTAGCTCACATACCCCAAAGTTTTGAGTGCACATTTTATTTATTCGGTACTTATCTGTTGAGCACCTACTATGCTCCAAGCGCTGTTCTAAGCAATGCGATACAGCAGTGAACAACAACAAAAAATTCTGCCCAAGAAAATAGGCTAAATAAAGATAATGTGTAGAGTACATTAGAAAATTATAACTAGTTTAAAACAAACAAACAAAAATTAGTGGGCAGGAAGTCTTGTGTATGAGAACTGAGAGTGAGGGAATTTCTGTGAAGGAATAGTCCAGGCTCTATGCTAGGCACTGGAGGAAGACAGCATGGAACCCTGCCCTCAAGGAATTCAGAATGTGTTAAGTTCTGTTGTTTTGTTTTTTAATTCTTTCATGCTAGATAGAAAAAGGGTTTATTTTTTGTTGCTTGGTTTTTTGTTGTTTTTTTTTTCACCTGCTCCTAGGCAGCTTCCCAACCAGGGATTGAACCCCTGCCCCGGGCAATAAGAGAATGGAGTCCTAACCATTGGACCCCCAAGGACTTCCCAGGAAGAGGTTTTGAAAAGCTGTTAACATTTCCAACCCACTCCCTTAAAGATGTATAGGATTTAAAATAAATTAATTAAAGTGAAATGAAAGGCAAAAAAAAAAAAGATGTGTAGAATTTGAAAGCAGGCAGAAGGGACAAGCAAGGGACTCAGAGGCAGATTCCTCCCTGACATGTGTATTGTTAGACAAAGAATCCAGTGCCATTTGGTGCCTGAAGTGATGGGTAGTAGGGACTGGGGATGGAGTCAGGAGACAGAACTTGGGGAGTCCTGAATGGCAGGCAAGGGAGCGAAGTCTTTCTTCCCAAATAAATAGAATACCTGTGAGATTTGAAGCGGGGCAGGAAAGGACTAGGTTTGCATTTGGTTTCCATCATCATTGTTTCCTCAGTGCTGAGCACAGTGCCTGGCACAGCATCCATATGTAGAATGTGTGAAATGAATGAATGCATGCATGTGTTCAGGGAGACTGTTCTGGCAGGAGTGGAGGAGATGGCCTGAGTGAGAAGAGTCTAGAAATAGCTCTCTTCACCCCTCCTCCAACATGGGATCTGGTCCCTCCTCTCTTACTACACCACCCAACAAAATGCAATCCTGCTGGTGAATACACCCTCCTACTTCCTTCTGTCTCTTACATGCCTGTTTGCCAAGTCCTTCCTCTTCCTTTCTCTTCCTCTCTGCAGGAGAGGCCTCAGTCTTTTTTGGCCTGGGCATCCCAGGTCTGTAGGAAGGAACCCTTACAGCTAACCTTGCTTGTCCGCAAGTGGATTAAATGGATCAGTGATTCAAGGACCCAGTCAGTGATTTAGGACCCAGAAGCTAGACCTCGGGAACTTTCTGGCACATTTCAGGCTGCCTTTCTTCACCTCACTTCTTTCCTTGACCAGTCCAATGGAAAGGGAAAAAATAAAAATCCAGGCCAAATCTGTTTGGAGAAAAGGTAAAGCCGATGCAAAGAAAAGGATGTTCTAAAGTGAAACAGGATTGACATCAGCAGTCTCCATGCTGGGACCCCTCTCTGATGGCCCTGCCTTCCTTTTCCTTTCAATTCTTTTTAAGACTCTAGGGTTACGTCTGCATCTGCCCAGTGGCCCCAGCTGTTTAGAGGACTGTTTTAAAGGCATGGTGACATGACATAGAACAAGTGGCTTAGTATTCTGGTTTCCTCCTCCCCTCTGTGTGGTACTGCTGAAAGAAACCTGGGGGGGGGACCGGGATGGGGAATACATGTAAAAAAAAAAAAAAATAAAAAAAAATAAAAAAAAAAGAAACCTGGGGCAGGGAGGTGGAGAACTAGTCATTTTGCCTTCTGCCTGGCCCCCAGCTCTATGTGCAAGACCTGTGTCCTCTCTGGCTCTTAATTTCCCCACCTTTGAAGTGAGAAATTAAACTCAATGCTCCACCCAGCCATGATGAGTTCTAGATTAGAGTCAGCCTGTTTCTCATCTGAAATGGAAGGCTATTCACATTCTTTAGCTGTGGAAACAGGGAATCTGTCTGCAGACCTGGTAGCTGGTTCAGTGCCAGAGTTGAGAGGCTCAGAGTCATCTTTGTTTTTTATTTTACTTTTAAATATTTTCTAGCTGTGCAGCATGCGGGATCTTAGTTCCCCAGCCAGGGATCAAACCCGCACCCTGTGCAGAGGAAACCCAGAGTCTTACCCCTTGGACACCAGGGAAGTCCCCATCTCGGGCTTTTTTTTAGACTTGGAAGCCAAGACACAGAGATCTCAGCTGTATGACCAACCAATGGCCACACATCAGCGACCCCTAGAGCCTGAATTCAAACCCAGGCAGATCTTCTGGACTTCAGGCGGTAAGGGCACCCTTTCCTGCCCAAACTCTTGAGAGTCTACCTCTTTGGGAAAGGAGGAGCCTTGCCCTCTGGGGGCTGACTTGACACAGGGGCACTGGGCACGCGCCCTGTGTGGCTAACCCTTTGCTCCATCTCCAGTGCTGGAGGATATGACCTTTAGAGGCATCTTCTGAGTTCTGAATTGGCGGACAAAGAGGCCAGCCGGAGACATTAGTGTCCTGCTGTTTCTGGGCAGTCGTAAATCACTGCAGCCCCATCCCCTGGCTCCTGGCTTCCTTCTGCGGCTAGAAAGCTCCCTGATTGGTGCGGAGGCAGCAACAGCAGCAGCAGCAGCAGCAGCAGCAGCATCTTCCGAAGCAGACCGGCAATGCTCCCCACCCTGTCCTCTGGGAACACTTCCCAGTGGCTGCCCTAACAGGCAGGTCTGCAGTAGGGGCAGGGAGCATGACAGATTCAGAGGCAAAGGACGACAGGGAGATCTCGGTGGGCCACCTCCCTCCCTGAGGATAGGAGAGCCACTAATGGAGGAAGCCTGTGCTGGGAGGCCGGACCCACCGGTTGAAGCCTTGACTTTGCTATTGATCCTGCCGGGTGACCTTGAACAAGCTGCTTTACCTCTCTGGGCCTCAGAGTGTACATCTATAAAATAACAGAATTGGATGGATTCTTCTTAAGGTCCTCCAGCCTGTTAAATACCCTACCTGAGTGTCTCCCGAGTGTCTCCAGGATAAGAACTGAAAGATGGTTCTATATGTGCTTCCCATCTTCTCCTGACTTCCCTGGCGGTTCAGACGGTAAAGAATCTGCCTGCAATGCAGGAGACCTGGGTTCGATCCCTGAGTCAGGAAGATACTCTGGAGAAGGAAATGGCAACCCACTCCAGAACACTTGCCTGGGAAATCCGGTGGGCAGAAAAACCTGGCAGGCTACAGTCCACGGGGTCGAAAAGAGTTGGACATGACTGAGTGACTAACATTTTGATCTTCTCCTTCCCTCGCCTTGGCTTTGCCATGCATGCCACTCCCATTGCATATGCATCAAAGTCCCTGCTCTCTAGCCTGGAGTTTACAGGCTTCTCCCGAGGTTCCTTCCTACCTCCCTGGCTACATCTCACATAGGACACTTGACAGGCATTCGCTGACCAGGCAGTGCCCGCTTCCGACTTTGAGCCTTTTCAAAGGCTGGGATAGGGACGGGAGGATGGGACAGGAATCAGGGGAGAGGGACCAACAGAGAACCAGGGCCAGAAGGCTGGCCACGCAAAGGTGTTGCCCAGCAGTGGATCTCAACTCCTTCAACTCTGACCCCCCATGCCATCCCACCTCTTCAGCTTTCATACTCAGACACTGCGTGTTGAACTGACCACTCCCCCAGGAGCTCCCTCCAGCTCCCAGCACTGGTTCTAGACCTTGT